GCCATAAATTCACTCCATATATTACAGTTACATAGTTACATAGCTGAAAAGAGACTTGCGTCCATCAAGTTCAGCCATCCTCACATTTGTTTTTTGCTGTTGATCCAAAAGAAGACAAAAAACCCAATTTGAAGCAAAATTTTGCAACAAGCTAGGAAAAAAATTCCTTCTTGACCCCAGAATGGCAGTCAGATTTATCCTTGGATCAAGCAATTATTACCCTACATTGAAAGATTATATCCGTGGATATTCTGTTTTTGCAAGTATGCATCTAGTGGCTGTTTGAACATCTGTATGGACTCTGATAAAACCACTTCTTCAGGCAGAGAATTCCACATCCTTATTGTTCTTACAGTAAAAAAAAACTTTCTTTTGCCTTAGACAAAATCTTCTTTCTTCCAGTCTAAACGCATGGCCTCGTGTCCTATGTAAAGTCCGGTTTGTGAATAGATTTCCACACAATGGTTTGTATTGGCCCGAATATATTTGTATAATGTTATCATATCCCCTCTCAGGCGACATTTTTCTAAACTAAATAGGTTTAAATGTGTTAACCTTTCTTCATAGCTGATATGTTCCATTCCTTTTATTAATTTTGTAGCCCGCCTCTGCACTTTTTCTAGTGCCATAATATCCTTCTTTAGAACAGGTGCCCAAAATTGCACAGCATATTCAATATGTGGTCTTACCAGTGATTTATAAAGAGGCAAAATGATATTCTCGTCAGCCACTGCTGATTGACATTGCACATTGTTGCATAGTTTGTTGTCTATAACAATTCCAAAGTCCTTTTTGTGTGTTGTTATCCCTAATTCGCTTCCATTAAGGTTATACGTTGCTTGTGTATTCTTTACGCCGAAGTGCATAACTTTGCATTTTTCAACATTAAATTTCATCTTCCATTTGAGTGCCCAGTCCCCCAGTCTATCTAAATCCCTCTGCAGCAAAGTAATATCTTGCTCACATTGTATTATTTTACAGAGTTTTGTGTCATCTGCAAACAATGAAACATGATTTTCAATGCTGTCTTCAAGATCATTTAAAAACATGTTTAATAGAAGGGGTCCCAGAACAGACCCCTGAGGGACACCCCTTGCCACCTCTGTCCAGCTTGAAAATTTACCATTAATGACAACTCTTTGTACTCTGTTTTTAAGCCAATGTTCTACCCAAGAACAAGCATTTTCATTTAGACCGATTTCCTTGAGTTTGAACTCTAATCTATTGTGTGGAACTGTATCAAATGCCTTGGCAAAATCCAAATTGATCACATCCACTGCAACACCCTGATCTATACTTCTACTTACTACTTCATAGAATGCAATCAAGTTAGTTTGACATGACCTGTGCTTCATAAAACCGTGCTGATTTTTGCTGATTTGCCATGTTCTTCTCAAGGAATTCTTGAATATTATCCTTTAATAACCTTTCAAATATTTTCCCAGCCACAGAAGTTAAGCTCACAGGTCTATAATTTCCAGGCAAGGATTTTGAACCCTTTTTGAATAAAGAAACCACATCTGCATTCCTCCAATCCTCCGGAACACTTTCTGAAAGAAAAGAATCTTGAAAGATTAAAAACAGAGGTTCACTTATTTCTACACTTAGTTCACTTATTTCTACACTATGTGGGTCTAGAGTGCCCTCTGATGGCATGCCAGCTTTCTTAAGTAACCTCTTAACATTCTTAATTGCTCCTTGTCCTTTGTGATGCTTGACAATGGTCAAAGCCATAAATCCCCCTTGGGTGCTTTAAGAGCTACCCATCTTAAAACTTGTAAGGGTTAATTACTTCCTTACACAAGACAAACTGTACAAAAACAGTGTATTTAAAACACTTAGGACCGCTGCAGTGGAATTTTCACAGTTTTGTCTTTGTTATTCTAAACACAGATCAGGAGACCTGCCCTTGGAGGATTCTAACTCAAATTATAAAACAAATGAAAAGGTAAACGATAAAAATAACTTACAACCCACTCAAGATTCCTTTCACAAGACATAACACAACCTCCACCTGAATATAACCATAATACCACAGAAAACAAGTTCTTTAGATCAGACGTTTTTAAGTCGTTCTTTACCCAGACAGACTAGTAGGACGTGGATCTGAGAGTGAAATTGATAAAGGTCGAACAAAAGTTTTTCCTTACCTTGCTGTACAGCTGATTTCACTGTCAGAGGGACGTCCACCTGTACGCTAGTGTCCGAGTCTCTCGACCGTCAGATCTTGGGGTATAGACATATATGGTCTTAAGTGTTGTGTTAAGCATCAAGCATTTCCTGAGTCCAGGTTAGCCAATTTTAATATAGGATATCATTATATGACACCTATAAGCTTGAGCCTTGGAATCAAGATAAATTCTATCACACTATAAACACATCTCCTATTGCTATAATTATGTCTTTGGTTGCTATAAACATATATCTGGTTGCTATAAACACACTTCTGTTGCTAGAAACATACCTTCGGTTGCTATATTAAGCCAGTTGCTATGACAATTTTAACGGTTGCTATAAACATTAACCCAGCTGCTATAACTATTTTGCTGGTTGTTATAAATATTTATTTATTTACTAAAAGCATATCACTGGTTGCTATAAACAAATCTCCTATTACTATTGTCATGTCTTTGGTTGCACTAAACATATATCAGGTTGCTATAAACACACTTCTGTTGCTAGGAACATAACTTTGGTTGCTATAAACATTAAGCCAGTTGCTATAACTATTTAGCTTTTTGTTATAAATATTTCTTTATTTACTAAAAGCATATCACCGGTTTCTATAAACACATCTCCTATTGCTATCATCATGTCTTTGGTTGCTATAAACACACTTCTATTGCTAGGAACATAACTTTGATTGCTATAAACATATATTTGGTTGCTATGAACACACTTCTGTTGCTAGGAACATACCTTTGGTTGCTATAACTGGTTTAATGTTTATAGCAACCAGATGTATGTTCCTAGCAACAGGTTTGTTTATAGCAACCAAAGTTATGTTCCTAGCAAAAGAAGTGTGTTTATAGCAACCAGATATATGTTTATAGCAACCAAACACATGATAATAGCAATAGGAGATGTGTTTATAGCAACCGGTGATATGCTTTTAGTAAATAAAGAAATATTTATAACAACCAGCAAAATAGTTATAGCAACTTGCTTAATGTTTATAGCAACCATAGGTATTTTCCTAGCAACAAGATTTTTTTATAGCAACCAAAGTTATGTTCCTAGCAAATAAAGAAATATTTATAACAACCAGCAAAATAGTTATGGCAACCGTTAAAATTGTCATAGCAACTGGCTTAATGTTTATAGCAACCAGTGGTATGTTCCTAGCAACAGGTTTGTTTATAGCAACCAAAGTTATTTTCCTAGAAACAGAAGTGTGTTTATAGCAACCAGATATAGGTATATAGCAACCAGATATTTGTTTATAGCAACCAAAGACATGATAATAGTAATAGGAGATGTGTTTATAGCAACCGGTGATATGCTTTTAGTAAATAAAGAAGGGTTTGTAACAACCAGTAAAATAGTTATAGCAACTGGGTTAATGTTTTTAGCAACCGTTAAAATTGTCATTGCAACTGGCTTAATGTTCCTAGCAACAGAAGTGTATTTATAGCAACCAGATGTAGGTATATAACAACCAGATTTATGTTTATAAAGAAATGTTTGTAACAACCAGTAAAATAGTTTTAGCAACTGACTTAATGTTTATAGCAATCAAAGTTATGTTCCTAGCAACAGAAGTGTGTTCATAGCAACCAAATATATGTTTATAGCAACCAAAGTTATGTTCCTAGCAACAGAAGTGTGTTTATAGCAACCAGATATAGGTATATGGCAACCAGATATATGTTTATAGCAACCAAAGACATGATAATAGTAATAGGAGATATGTTTATAGCAACTGGTGAAATGCTTTTAGTAAATAAAGAAATGTTTGTACCAACCAGTAAAATAGTTATAGCAACTGACTTAATGTTTATAGGAACGAAAGTTATGTAACTAGCAACAGAAGTGTATTTATTGCAACCAAAGGTATGTTCCTAGCAATAGAAGTGTGTTTATAGCAACCAAAGACATGATAATAGCAATAGGAGATGTGTTTATAGAAACCGGTGATATGCTTTAAGTATATAAAGTAATATTTATAACAAAAAGCAAAATAGTTATAGCAACTGGGTTAATGTTTATAACAACCGTTAAAATTGTCATAGCAACTGGCTTAATATTTATAGCAACCACAGGTATGTTCCTTGCAACAGGTTTGTTTATAGCAACTAAAGTTATGTTCCTAGCAACATAAGTGTGTTTATAGCAACCAGATATATGTTTATAGCAACCAAAGTCATGAGAATAGCAATAGGAGATGTATTTAGAGCAACCGGTGATATGCTTTTAGTAAATAAAGAAATATTTATAACAACCAGCAAAATAGTTATAGCAACTGGGTTAATGTTTATAGCAACCAAAGTTATGTTCCTAGCAACAGAAGTGTGTTTATAGCAACCAGATATAGGTATATAGCAACCAGATATATGTTTATAGCAACCAAAGACATGATGATAGTAATAGGAGATGTGTTTATAGCAACCGGTGATGTGCTTTTGTTAAATAAACGTATATTTATAACAACCAGTAAAATAGTTATAGCAACTGACTTAATGTTTATAGGAACCAAAGTTATGTTCCCAGCAACAGAAGTGTGTTTATAGCAACCAAAGGTATGTTCCAAGCAACAGAAGTGTTTTTATAGCAACCAGATATATGTTTATAGCAACCAAAGACATGATTTAGTAATAGGAGATGTGTTTATAGCAAGGGGTGATGTGCTTTTAGTAAATTAAGAAATGTTTATAACAACCAGTTTGGTTGTGGCAAGGTCAGGTAAAGATATTGTGGCAGTAGCCATCTTGGTGGAGGCAACAGGCCTAGATCCCTGTGGCAATGTAGACTATTGTATTAAATTAAGTTCTTCTTCCCTCTCAATACATGCTTCCTCGGCACTCTCTGTAGCTCGTGCCAAATCCGTAGTGGTATGTGAGGTGGAGGAAGAGGACCCTGATGGCGACCGGGACCTCAAACCCCCTGTCTGTGGCATGGCCGCTTTTATAAGTAAGCGACCGGCTGCTCTGATGCTTTGGCGCGAGCGGCTGTATGCCGCTCGTGGGTGATTGTTCCCGGTGCTGCGCTCGCATACGAGTGGGTCTGAGAAACTTGGTGGGTTTTCCCGCTCCCATCAACGATGAATTTGGTGGCGAAATAGGCCGCGGGCTGGACTTAGGAATATTTTTTGTCCTTGGTCATCTATTAAATTCGAAATTTTAGATTGGACATTCACCTGCCGGAGTTTGGACGCCAAGAGAGTTGAGGCCTTGTTACCTTTCAAATAAAACATTTTCTTGAGGCGTCTCACCATGAGAGTGGTTCGACCTAAATTTATTTTATGTATTTTTGATTTAATCTCCCCTGATTTGGGTTATACAGTTCTTTTTCCAAATTTCTTAAATTGCTGTTATTTTTCCTCTTCAAGTGAGACGCCCTAGAAATGAAATGGCCCCTCAGCACAGCCTTGTGCGCGTTCCATGGATGGAGTAAAAATAAAAAATAAAATGGGGAGTGATAAACCTGGATAAATTCCCCTATACGAGGAGATAAAAAAAAAACCTTATTTAAAAAAAGGGTCATGAATAAAATATATATTTCTCCTTCTCAGGGTATTAGGCCCAGGTTGGGGGGAGGAAAAACTACCTGGGACAAAGGGACCAATGTATGCTTTGATAAAAACTAAAACATCACAATTAACCCCTTAAGGACCAAACTTCTGGAATAAAAGGGAATCATGACATGTCACACATGTCATGTGACCTTAAGGGGTTAAATAAAGAAAAATTTGTCAAAAATGAAATACAAGAAATTCTTCCAGTCCTGGGATCTTTGCTGAATTAGATAGTCATTAGGACAGGGACAGGGGCTTGTGGGACTTAGAAAATATTTGGCACATTTTCAAGGGAGAACTTGCCCTGTAGGAATTGGGCACACAAAATCCCCACAAAAGTTGCTTCTCCTGACAGCCCCCACCTGGCTGACCAACATATCCAAAATCAGCCAGATCCCTACAGGGGTTCAGGAATTTCATGGAAGTCATAATTTGACCGGTAGTCGCCAGGCTCCCGTAGACGAAAATAGTTTCATAGAATCGTGGCTAAGTGCCGCTGGAGACCACCGGCAAAACGCAATATTTTCATGCCGAAAATAGTTCCAGGGATTTCGCGGCCATGTCACCCTGAAGTCTTTTCTCGGTTTTGGGCCATGCAAACGGCTCCCAGGGGGCTAGCTTTCGGTTCTACTGCTGTAGGGAGGCAGGGAAGCAGGCAGGAAGGTGGCTAAGTGTGTTATTTCTCACACATCCTACTTTAGGCAGAGTCCCCTGCCTGCTAAGGGGAAAAACCTCCTGTCAGTCTGGAACTCTGGCTGGGCATGGAAGAACTGGCCAGTGTCTCCTGAATGCTAAGGGGAAAAACCACCTGTCATTCTGGAACTCTGGCTGGACTTGGTAGAACCAGTCAGAGTCCCCTGCCAGCTAAGGGGGGAAATCACCTGTTGGTCTGGAACTCTGGCTGGGCATGGAAGAACCAGTCAGAGTCCCCTGACTGCTAAGGGGTAAAACCTCCTGTGAGTCTGGAACTCTGGCTGGGCATGGAAGAACTAGTCAGAGTCCCCTGCCAGCTAAGGGGAAAAACCACCTGTTATTCTGGAACTCTGGCTGGGCATGGTAGAACCAGCCAGAGTCCACTGCCTGCTAAGGGGGGAACCACCTGTCATTCTGGAACTCTGGCTGGGCATGGAAGGACCGGCAAGAGTCCCCTGAATGCTAAGGGGGAAAACCACCTGTCATTCTGGAACGCTGGCTGGGCATGGAAGTACCAGTCAGAGTACCCTGACCGCTAAGGGGGAAATCACCTGTTGGTCTGAAACTCTGGCTGGGCATGGAAGAACCAGTCAGAGTCCCCTGCCAGCTAAGGGGGGAAATCAACTGTTGGTCTGGAACTCTGGCTGGGCATGGAAGAACCAGTCAGAGTCCCCTGACCGCTAAGGGGTAAAACCTCCTGTGAGTCTGGAACTCTGGCTGGGCATGGAAGAACCAGTCAGAGTCCCCCGCCAGCTAAGGGGGAAAACCACCTGTCATTCTGGAACTCTGGCTGGGCATGGAAGAACCGGCCAGTGTCCCCTGAATGCTAAGGGGAAAAACCACCTTTCATTCTGGAACTCTGGTGGGCTTGGTAGAACCAGTCAGAGTCCCCTGCCAGCTAAGGGGGGAAATCACCTGTTGGTCTGAAACTCTGGCTGGGCATGGAAGAACCAGTCAGAGTCCCCTGACCGCATAGGGGAAAAACCACCTGTCATTCTGGAACTCTGGTTGGGCATGGTAGAACCAGTCAGAGTCCCCCGGCCAGCTAAGGGGGAAAACCACCTGTCATTCTGGAACTCTGGCTGGGCATGGAAGAACTGGCCAGTGTCCCCTGAATGCTAAGGGGAAAAACCGCCTGTCATTCTGGAACTCTGGCTGGGCATGGGAGAACCGGGAAGAGTCCCCTGCCTGCTAAGGGGGGAACCACCTGTCATTCTGGAACTCTGGCTGGGCATGGAAGGACCGGCAAGAGTCCCCTGAATGCTAAGGGAGAAAACCACCTGTCATTCTGGAACTCTGGCTGGGTATGGAAGTACCACTCAGAGTACCCTGACTGCTAAGGGGGAAATCACCTGTTGGTCTGAAACTCTGGCTGGGCATGGAAGAACCAGTCAGAGTCCCCTGCCAGCTAAGGGGGGAAATCAACTGTTGGTCTGGAACTCTGGCTGGGCATGGAAGAACCAGTCAGAGTCCCCTGACCGCTAAGGGGTAAAACCTCCTGTGAGTCTGGAACTCTGGCTAGGCATGGAAGAACCAGTCAGAGTCCCCTGACCGCTAAGGGGAAAAAACACCTGTCATTCTGGAACTCTGGCTGGGCATGGAAGAACCGGCAAGAGTCCCCTGACCGCTAAGGGGAAAAACCTCCTGTCAGTCTGGAACTCTGACTGGGCATGGAAGAACCATTTAGAGTCCCCTGCCTGCTAAGGGTAAATACCACCTGTCGGTCTGGAACTCTGGCTGGGCAAGGAAGAACCAGAGTCCCCTGACCGCTAAGGGGAAAAACCTCCTCTTAGTCTGGAACTCTGGTGGACATGGAAGAACCAGTCAGAGTCCCCTGAATGCTAAGGGGAAAAACCACCTGTCATTCTGGAACTCTGGCTGGGCATGGTAGAACCAGTCAGAGTCCCCTGCCAGCTAAGGGGGAAAACCACCTGTCATTCTGGAACTCTGGCTGGGCATAGAAGTACCAGTCAGAGACCCTGCCTGCTAAGGGGGAAAACCTCCTGTCATTCTGGAACTCTGGCTGGGCATGGAAGAATCAGTCAGAGTCCCCTGACTGCTAAGGGGAAAAAACCTCCTCTCAGTCTGGAAGTCTGGTGGGCATGGGAGAACCAGTCAGAGTCACCTGCCTGCTAAGGGGGAAAACCACCTGTCATACTGGGACTCTGGCTGGGCATAGAAGAACCGGCAAGAGTCCCCTGAATGCTAAGGGGAAAAAAACACCTGTCATTCTGGAACTCTGGCAGGGCATGGTAGAACCAGTCAGTGTCCCCTGACAGCTAAAGGGGAAAACCACCTGTCATTCTGGAACTCTGGCTGGGCATGGAAGAACCGGCCAGAGTCCCCTGAATGCTAAGGGGAAAAACCACCTGTCATTCTGGAACTCTGGCTGGGCATGGAAGAACCAGCCAGAGTCCCCTGCCTGCTGTTCAATATTTTCGCTCCTCGATAATATCCTCAAGGGTGCCCCCAGCTTTTGTCATCCAGTTTCTGCATGTGCGGCGTTTTGGGGGACCAACGTGAAAAAGTGTCCGACCTCGTGGAAGTGGTGCCTGGACATGGCAGGGCAGATCCAACCTAATTTTTTGTCTCAGGCGTGGAGCTTGTGGGACTTAGAAAATGTTTCGCCCTGAAAAATGTTTCGCCCTCACTCACAGAAAGCATCAGATTGGTGATTATGCTGCTTTCTGTGAGTGAGGGGGCACCGAGTGTAGCCCACAAAAATTGCCAAATAAGAAAAAAGGGTCACTTACAGATATCGAACATGAGGGACATTACGATTTAAGACATTTGCTAAACTTTTACAACATTGTTAAGTTGTCTCAGCGTGTGTTTTGTTCCTGTCTTATGCTCAGCGTTATTCTAGTGGTGTGCATCGTGGGGGCCGAAAGCGTTGTTACGACAGTAAGAGAGAGAGGGGTGTGAAACTAACAGGAAATTAAAGGGTTATACAAAACCATTTTGTGAGCAGAGTAAGTAGGTCTGACCCGCATCCCCCCACAGGACATCTTAATTAAGTATAGTCCAAGGTGTAGGTATTTGTATTTGTATTCCTGAGCGTCCAGCTGTTTAAGTCCTGCACCATAGACAGACTGTTTGCCAGAGCCGGGGTAGCTGCGGCCAATGCCGCTGGGATGTTTCGGTGGATAGTCCATTTTGCAGCCCAGCTTGATGTCTCTTTTCTCCCTCCTGTCGGTCTGTGCCCAGTATCGGTCTTTAGTCGTTGCCGTAGCGGTCTGATGGGCTGTTGGTCGACTAGCGCTCCTCTGAGTGCTCGGTCCGTTGGGGTGCGTTTCTGTGCAGGTGCGGTATGCCACTGATCTCCCCCCTCTAGCGTACATCGGGATTGCTATACCCCTGCCCGGTGTCCAGTGATCGCTGGATGTCGAGTGCCTGCTAGGTTTGGGTCTCCTGCCTACGATCCGTTCCAGCTGGGTAGAGCCTCAGAACCTTGGGAGAGCTGGTGCTCATAGGCCACGAGCCTGGAAACCTATGTGGCCCAGGTTCGCCCCTTGTGGGGTGGTGTGGGGAGCTTTAGTCGGTCGCTTGAGGTGTCAATGTGCTGCTCTCCACCAGTGTGTCCAGCACTTCTGGGGTTTGCCCTTAGTCGCTCTCAGCACGGGAGGGCCCTGGACTTGGAATTCCGGAGCTTGGTTTGTGGAGTTGCCCTGGTAAGTATCCCCAGTCCTCCGTCCGCCTCCGGCTCTGACCCTCACAAGTGTTATTCGGCATGGTGCTTCAGGCTGCAGTAAAGCCTTCAACTTGGCCCAAAAGCAATTGAAAATCATTGTGATAGGGTCTCTTGTGCGATCTGTAGTTTCTACCATG